AAAAAAAAAAAAAAAGTGTTTGATATGAGTATTGTACTTTTTCTTTTTTAAGTTTTTATTAAACTCTTCTCCAATTTTCTTCTATATTTGATTCAACAGACTTTACATCCTTATCACTTCACCAAGAAGAATCTTATGACCTCAATGATATCACATACTTTGGTTATTTTTCAGACTTTCTTTTCTATGTCATTGTGCATGTTGTCTCTCTCTCTTTCTGCCTAAGTATAAAACATATCAGTTCTTTTAGTGTACCCCTACCTCACTGGCCTCTTTTACTGCTTCCTCTCCTTCTCATTATCCTAAAATTGGAGTATCCCAATTTGGAGTGTCCTTAGATGCATTCAATCATTTGATAATCTATCTAATCGTATGATTTTAAGTACTATCGATAAAAGAACATTTCTCCATTTTTTGTTTTCATGCTGAAATGTAAACTTTATTTCTGATGAATCCCATTGACTGTCTGTTAGTCATCTCAATATTAACACGTCCATAAACTTCCCCTACAACTCTGTTCTACCTGGATCTTTACCCAAATTGTATTTACTCAAGACAAACTAATTGAGTTACTATTGATGCTTTTTTCTTCTATGTTCCATGTCAAATCCCCCACACATAGTATTGATTATACCTTCATTATATGCTCAGAATTTCACCAGTTTTCACTGCTTCCATTGATATCACCGTTATCTAAGCTACCGCCACTGTTCTCTTAACTTATTACAACATCCTCCTACTCTTGCTGTTAAGTGTCTTCAAGATGGTTCTGACTTATAGCTACACTGTATAGGATTTCTGAGGAATGGCTGGTGGGTTTGAACTGCCAACCTTGTGGTTAGCAGTCCAGTACTTATTTTATGGAGCATAACAATAAATCATTGTTCTTTTTCTGTCCTACCATTTTCCCTTAAGAATTTAGATTACAAAGAAAAATAGTTTATATTGTCCCATGTTGGAGGAATTTTTAAAATATCGAAAAACAAGTAGATAAAAGTATTATGTAACTACTAGCTGATTTTTTTCTAAGAATATTTGGAGAGAAGTAATGAATTACACCACAGAGGGAAAAAGACACTGAAAAGGTAAAGAGAGATCTCTGAAGACAAACCAAAAAAAAACTTATTGTCATAGAATCCATTCTGACTCATAAGCACTCTATAAGGCCGTTTTGTGAAGAAACTATAAAGGAAGAATAAGTTGGGTTGTCACAGGGCAAATTCCTAGACCCACAACCACTGCTCTAGCCCACTACAGTCTGTTCCAGGAGTGACGGTCCAGAGTTTACATATATTAGAGAATCCTCTCAAGACTTGTTATACCAACTTTAGGTCTTTACAGAATTAGGGGAAAGGATAAAAGAAAAATAATTCTTCATCAAAGTTTAAGTTAGGAAGAACTTGTTCTCAGTTTTACCTCCATACATTGGAATTTAGTCTTTCATGTCCTATCAATAAGTGCAAAGCAAGCACACAACTATAAAAACAACAAGAACAACAACAACAACAACAAAATAACAGTTTTTAAATCCTTTATATCAATAGTGTCTTTCATTTTCTAGCAATAGCCACAAAGAAAACAACAGAAGTAAAGGTCTATGAAGTGGTCCGTCTTAAGAAACTACACATTTTACACAAAAGAGAGACAAATAACTACCAGGCAGAGAATCAAGGCAAAGAGGTAAGCAATATGAATAAATGTGGCAGAGTTTGCAATCATCTGAAAAAACAAGAAAGAACCTTTTCACTAATAGAAGTGATGTCACATCTACATCTAATAATTCAATCTTGTAGCCCATCTATCCACCTCCTTTTTGTCCAAGGATAGCACAGCACTGCTCAGAATGCTGTTACAATTTAATAACAGGAGGGAGCTAACACTCTCACTTGATCATAAAGATAAAAGCTGCTTAGACACTTCTTCAAGTTTGTGAGGTCATTTTAAAAAAGAGAGCAAGGGAGAAGTCTGGAAAGGGTATTCATTTCTAGGAGACACTATTTCTTGTCAAGCTTACCAAACCTCCCAGTCTCCCTCACATACCCACCTCCCCATCCCATGAATTTTTTTTCCTCATTGTTGTCTGGCATTGATGAGAAAAAAAAAAAAAAAAAAAGATTTTAATTAAGGATATTAATTATGATTATCATTACAAATATTTCCATGTTTTGTTATTTTTACTTTGTTAATTCTTACAAGATTTTCAGTTTGTTTGCTTTAGTGTGCTGTGTTTGCTTTCAAACTAAAGAAAATATATACTTTATCGTTGTCCCATTAGAAATCCATTATAACACATAGAAGATGGTATCCTATACATTAGTCTAAATAAGTCCCCCCATCTTTAATATGTTACTGTTAAGTGTTATTGAGTCTGTTCATAGTGACTTTGTATAGGGTTTCCAAGGGGCAACCGGTGGGTTTGAACTGATGACCTTGTGGTTACGTCCAGTCCTTATGCTACAGGGTCAATCCTTAAGTGCTTAATAATATGTAATACTATATTTTTAAGGAGCCTGGGTGAAGCTGTAGAATAAGCACTAGACTGCTAATCTCAAGGTTGGCATTTCAAACTTATTAGATGCGCCATGGGAGCAAAATGAAGTTTTCTGCTCCTGTAAAGATTTATAGCCTCAGAAACCCTATACAGGGTTGCTATGGATAAGAATTGACTCCATGGCAGTGGATTTGGCCTTCTTAAAGGTGTGTTGTGTGTGTGTGTGTGTTGTAAGTCTATTAGGATTTGGAGTCCTGGTGTGGCACTGTGGGTTAATGTGCCAGACTGCAAAGCCGTTTGAATTGCAAGGTCGGCGGTTCAAGCTCACCAGCTGCTCCTTGGAAGCCCTATACAGGGTTGCTATGGGTCTGAACAGACTTGACACACTTAGCAATGACAACAACAACATTATGATTTACAATTTATGTTTTATTCTAAATGTTTTAATGTCATAATAGAACACAGACTTCTGACTTATCTATCTTTGTATTATAGTCCTCATAACATATATTATTTGTAATTATATTACAATTATTAAGGTTGATTCAGAAACATAAAGTTTTGTGATTCAATTATATTATTACATATTTCTAGGGAAGATATGAGCCTGAAGTTCAGTACCAGATTACATTAAATGGCAAAGAAATAATTCTTCACTTACAAAAAGCCAAGTAAGTTTTATTTTCTGATAGTCTAATCATTTACTGGATTCTACTAAAAGGGTGTGGAAAAGCATATCTTGAGACATAGAGACTATTGAATAGATATTATTATGCATTGTATGCACTAATGTTATCTAAGAAGGTTGACTCTCTCTTAAAAATGATATGCCAAGTGTAAAAATGAAAACTCTAAATATAAATGTTCTTCCTTAAAGATAATTTGAATGATCTGTATTCAGAAAATTTAAATTTTTGTTATTGATTTCCATTATTTTTATAAGCATGTAGAAGCAGAGTACAAATGCCTTGGGATGCATACTATTGGATCAGGCTCCACCAACTCTCAGGGTAGTCAATAAATTTCTTACTGAATGTAGTGGTCCTTTATATATATTTATGATCCAACACCATTTAGAATTCTGTGGATACATGCCCTGGTAAAAAGGGATTATAAATTAACATATCTGAAAATAAAATCAGCAGCTATAAAGTTGCTGTGGGTGCTTCTTTCTTCAGATCTAACAGGCATCTATATCTAAGCTTAGATTTAATTCCTCAGTGGAGTTCCACTACTAAAAATGGATCATTGGGTCAGAATATCAACTGTATCTCACTGTAAATTTAATTGTTCCTTTAGTGCTGAAGATTATATCAGGAAAATCATCTTAATTTGTTATCAACCTGAATGCACTATACATTTTCTTCCTTTCTACAGGCATCTCCTAGGGCCAGACTACACTGAAACATATTACTCTCCCAGAGGGGAGAAGATCATCACGAGCCCTCAGAACATGGTAGGTTTCAAATCTTTGAGACTTTCTTCCTGGGATCTACCTTTTAATATATAAAATCCATATGTCAATTCGCTTTTCTGTTGTTAAGTGCCATCGAGTAGATTCTGACTCCTAGCAACCCTGTACATGGCTTCTAAAGAGCAGCTGGTGGGTTTGAACTGCCAACAGTGTTGTTTGCAGTCCAGTGCTTATCCTACAGGGCCACACCAGAAGTCCTCACAGGTCCATAGTCAATTGGGAGAAAAAAAAAAAAACAAAAAACAAAAAAACAGATCTGAAAACAAGGAGATTATCTGTAACCTATGAAACAAGAGATGGAATTATCATCTACTTTTAGGTGTAGGAGAAATTGGAGGCTTTCTGCTGCTGTTGCTTTTAAGTGCAATGGAGTTGGTTCCAACTTATAGGGACTCTATCATTTCTGAGGAGCAGCTGGTAGGTTTGAACAGCCAGCCTTGTGGTTTTCAGTCCAGTGTTTAACCCTACAGTGCCACACAAGACCTAGTAGTGTGTTTTTAGAAGCCACCCAAACCCTACTTTCTCCTGGTGGTGGTGGTGGTAGTATTGTGCTATAAAGTTGGTTCCAATTTACAGTGACCCTGTGTAGGGTTTCTAAGACTGTAAAGGGATTGACTAGTAGATTCAAATTGTTGACCTTGAGGTTAGCAGTCCAATGTGCAAGCACTATGTTACAAGGGCTCCCACTTTCTCCTAGATCATTTTATTTATAGGTTGGAAGTGTTCTCTCCAAAGTTGTTGTTGTTGCTAAGTGTCATTGAATCATTTCCCACTCATTGCAGCTCTTTATAGGCTTTCCAAAGCTGCAAGTCTTTATGGGAACAGAAAGTCTCCTCTTTTTCTCATGGAGTGGCTGGTGGGCTTTAACCTCTGACCTTGTGGTTCACAGTCCGGTGTTTATTCTACAGAGCCACTGCACTATCAGTACACAAATAATAAACAATTCACTACATAAATCTTTATGGTAGGGTCAGTTATTTCATATATTTTATATCTGGTTAAACCTCAACCTATATACCAGAATCATAAGTATAGCGAAAATGCTCCTTAGAAACCAAGATGGCCAGACTTCGTCTCTCATGTTTCAGGCTTATTATTAGGAAGGACCAGTTCCTGGAAATGGGCATCATGCTTGATAAAGGGTCAGTGAAAAAGAGGGAAACCCTGTACAAGATGGACTGGCACAGTGGCAGTAACAATGAGTTCAAATGTAGCAGCATTGTGAGGATGGGGTAGGACCTGATGGTGTTTTATTCTCTTGCACATAAGGTCGCTATGGGTAGGAACTGGCACTAACAGCATAGTGGTGTGGTGATATGGCTTAATGCACTGGACTGCAAAGTTGCTTTGAACTGCAAGGTTAGTGGTTCAAGCTCACCAGCTGCTCCTCAGAAACCCTATAGAGTGTCGCTATGGGTAGGAACTGACTCAATGGCACTTAACAACAACAGATATTAGACATAAGAGAGTATTATGATTAAAGGAAGAACAGGAAGAAAAGAAATGAAATGTCTCAATCATAGTGTGGTTGTTCACAGAGCTCACTGCTGTGGTACACCAAACATGTCTGCCTCTATGAAAGCAGACGAAGACTTCTGCAACAATATGGCCTTTTGTTCCATTAAAATTCTTCATTTTATGAATATCTAAAATAAAAACTTGGTGAAGGAAAAGTCGCTCAAAGGAAAGTATCTGATAGATTAATTTGCATTCAAGTGTTAATAGCTAATGATTCTTTACTGTGGTATTTCCAAGCTTTCTATAAATGACAAGTTTTCTTCCAAAGGAAAGGTAAACAGAATTTGAGGCTTTTAAGTCAGCTTATTTTAAACAAGAGATTGATCTTTAACTTCCTTAGATTATCCCATATAAGGCCTACTTTACTTTGCTTAAGGAGCTCTGGTAGAATAGTGGTTACAAATTGGGCTGTGAACCTTAAGGTCAACAGTTCGAAACTACCAGCTGTTTTGTGGGAGAAAAATGAGGCTTTCTGCCCAGGTAAAGATTTAGAGCCTTGGAAACCCTGTGCAGGGTTGCTATGGATCGGAACCGACTTGACGGCACTTAACAACAACATTTTACTTTGTTTATGAAGTCCTGGTGTGGTGCTATGGGTTAATGTGCTAGACTGAAAAGTTAGTTCAAGCTCACCAGCCACTTCAAGGAAACCCTATGCAGAGTTAGTATGGGTCAGAACTGACTTGATGGCACTAAACAACAACTTTGATTACATAGGATGTGGTACTAGAGGATCACAGGACTGCAAAGTCATTTTGAACCTCAAGGTAGCCGGTTCAAGCTCACCACCCACTCCTGAGAAAGCCTATACAGGATGTCTATGAGTCGGAACCAACTCAAACAGCATGCAACAACAACAACAACAATTTCACTTATTTGGAGGACTATCCATTTCTGATTCTGTAGTTGTAGATAACTCCTCTAGGTTTTTCATACTGTAAAGGAATTCCTCAAATAGACCAATTAAAATGGTAAAATGGATTAATTAGGATGAGATGCTCAGGAATGGTGGTATAGCTTCTTGAGAATTCCAGAATCAAGAAAAAATACATTGCCTTCTACTTGCTTTCTACTCACAGTGATCCAGTAGGATGGAGTAGAGTTACGTGATGTTGTTGTTAAGTGCCGTCGAGTCGTTTCCGACCCATAGCGACCCTGTACAGGGTTTCCGAGGCTGTAAATCTTTACGGGAGGAGACTGCCTCATCTTTCTCCCGCGGAACAGCTGGTAGTTTCGAACAGCTGGCCCTAAGGTTTGCAGCCTGATTCGTAACCACTACGCTACCAGAGCTCCATAGAGTTACGTAATAGGTAGGCTGTAATCTGTACCTTCAGCTGATGGGTTCAAATGACCAACTTTTCATTTTACAACCAAATGCTTATCCATTGGCCTCTGTGAGAGTCAACATGTTGTTGTTGTTGTCAAGCACTGTCGAGTCGGTTCCAACTCATAGCAACACGTTATAGAGTTTTGGAAGAGCAATTGGTGGGTTTGAACTGCCAACTTTGCAGTTAGGAAGCAGTCCAGTGCTCATCCTTCAGCGCTACGCTAGGGCGCTGAGGTTCAACATAGGGGAGCTAAATTCTTGCAAGCTGGTTCTGGATGTTGATAGCCTTCCAGTACTACTTTTAATCTCAAAGGGATTAGCTACTTCTCAGTTACTGCTTCCATTTTTACCAGGAGCTCCATAGATGCAATCTCCTTGCATTTAAACATGTTTCTTCCTTTGGACAAATTAGCATCAGAAAGATAGCTCACTCACCAAATATAGAGATTTTCTAGGGTCACCCATGCAGCAATTTAGAAATTTTTGTGGCTTTCACTGCTTTTTGCTCAGGAAACTGGTATGGGGACTGTCACTATTTGAAGACATTTGCTAAATACTGAAGATGACAGCTTTTACCACAATTATGATACACACATTATTGACATAATAACAAAACAAAAAATCTAAAACATAATTTCTTTTATCTACATCCAGGAAAATTGTTTCTATGAAGGAAATATCCAAAATGAAAAGAATTCTGTTGCCAGCATTAGTACTTGTGATGGGTTGAGGTAAGAGCCACACTGAAAAGCATTTTTTTTTTTTAATGCAGAATTAAATCTTTCTGGATATTTTGTTTTCTTCTTTTTTTGGTAAAATTTGACAATCACTAAAATGCCAAATATATAAGGATAAAGAGTAAAGTGAGGCTTACATTCACTTTATCACTGGTTGATCTAGCAGAAGACAGTGCTGGACATTTTTAATTAATACTGCTACTTTCCAGACCATGGTGAAAACTGTATTCATCTCCATCATTATCTTTCCCATTCCCTTTATATTTTGAAAGACTCTGCCCTGCAATTGTCCCACATGGACTTAATTTATGTGTATATGAGTATGTGCGAGCTTGTATATAGTTTTGTTTACAAAAGAACTCTATAATTTCTGATAATTAGGGGAAATTAAGAAAATAAGAAAAAGCAAAAAGAAGAAAAGTATTTCAAAATATTGCCGCTGAATGATCATTATTTCTTTTCAAAAATCAAGAAATTTGCGGGGTTTTCGAGGAGGTCCCAGAGGGGCTGGCTGTGGGCGCAGGGCGGTGGCCTGTGTGTCACCTGCTACGGTAGGTCCCGGGTCTCCCCAGGCCCTCCCCACCCCGCTGCACACCGAGACGCTCTCCCTAGGCCAGCCTGGGCGGCGGGTCTGGAATCACCCAGCAGCCTGGAGAAGGACAACATGCTTGGAAAACTAGAAGGTCAGCAAAAAAAGAGGAAGACCCCCAAGAATGCAGATTGACATAGCTGCAGCCACAATAGGCTTAAACAACAATTGTGAGGATGGCGCAGGACTGGGCAGTGTTTCATTCCACCGTGGATAGGGTCGCTATGAGTTGGGACTGACTCGATAATACCTACTAACAGCAACAGCCATATTGTTCCATTCTGTAATGTATTGTAAATCTTAGCCTCTGTGCCTGCGATTGGACTCCTGGAATGGCGCTGTAGGATCAGCACTGGATTGCGCACCACAAGGTCAACAGTTTAAACCCACCAGCTGCTCCTCAGAAACCCTATGCAGGGTCGCTATGAGTCAGAACCGACTCGATGACACTTAACAACAGTACCTTTGATTATGGATCCATTTTGAAGTGAGTTAATGAGGCAGAATTATGGTGGGAGTTAGGAACTAAGGAAGCAAGGAGCTCTGGTAGCTTAGTGGTTATGAATCGGGCTGTGAACCGCAACGTCAACAGTTTGAAACTACCAGCTGTTCCGCGGGAGAAAGATGAGGCTTTCTGCTCCCGCAAAGATTTACAGCCTCGGAAACCGAGCACAGGGTCGCTATCCGACTCCACGGCACATATCAACAACAAAGGAGTGAGGTGTGGCGCTGTGGGTCAGTCTGCAAAGCCAGTTGAACTGCAAGGTTGGAGGTGTAAACTCACCAGCTGCTCCCTGGAAACACTACACAGGGTCGTTATGGGTGGGAACCGACTGGGTGGCACTTCACAACAAGGAGTGAGGATGTTCCACCTTACTAGACAGGGTAGAGGTCTATGACTCCACAAGGCTCAGGTTCTTGTTAACTTCTCCGTCACTCTCTCCTGCTGCTCTGCCTGTCATTTAGCTGTAGTTACACTGACCTCCATGGAGTCCTGATGTGGCTGTGTGGGTTAGTACGCCAGACTGCAATGTCAGTTTGAACTGCAAGTTTGGCAGTTCAAGCTCACCAGCAGCTCCTCAGAAATTCCATACAGGGTCATTATGGGTCGGAACTGACTTGATGGCACTTAAAAACAATAACACTGACCTCTTGACTGAACTTCCTGTGTGACCAACTCCATCCTCTGGTTTTTTATCCTTACTCCTAGGACCCTGTACCTTCAGTGCTCTTCCTCTGTTACTGGCATTTCTCCTGTAAGCCTTTTCTCTAATAGTATCTTTTCACTTAAAATGATCACAAGTACACTCCTCTTCTGTGTATTATCTGTCCTCACCTTCCAAAATGCAAGCTCCATGGCTGTAGGAAATGTAGTCTGTTTTGTTCACTGATGAATCCCCAGTTTACCAAAGAACTGGTAAACTTTTGGTGCTCAAAATATACTTGAGTAGTACATGAAATAGGTAAGCTTTGAATTTTCACTATCCAGTACAACTCTTAAATCTTATTATAAATCTCAAGACTCAGTCTCTTAGTATATAGGCATTAGGTCTTCCTCATAAACTGTGAAAATATGGATCTGCTCTTACCTAGCTATCTGAGAGTTTTAATATTTTGCTTTATATGTGTTATATTGCAAGTAACAATTCACTTGTATCTATAATATTAGTACAGGAAACAGATCATTTAGAGGTGAAGTCACTGGGGGAATAGATTTGGGCTTGGAAGATAAGATAGTTTCTGTTAGAAAAATGGCTTTTTATAAAATACCATAACGTATTTAGGAGGGTGAATAAAAAAGTATCCATACACCAGTTATATTAAAACACCCATCCACATCCATGACTGATGGCAACATTGAGCCTGGACATGAAATGACTCTGTTGAGTGACAGTGGATTATGTGGCAAATCATCTGTAAATCAGCCATAGTTCTGTCTATGAAATAGTCCACCACAGACTTGGGTTTTGAAATGTTTGTGTGAGATGGGTACCAAAACAACTCATGGAAAAGCATAAACAGAAGCATTTGAAAATGCAAACAAAATTTGGACCGATACTTAAAGGAAAGTAAAAGCTTCTTAAAAAAAAAAAAAAAAAGTCGTTTCTGGTGGCAAGACATGGATTCATCACTAGAGCCTGAGAGTAAAAGGCAGAGTATGGAATGGGAACATCCTCAATCACTGACCAAGAAAAAGTTCAAAAGTTAACCATCAGCTGGAAAATTGATGCTTACTGTTTTCTGGAATTCTCAAGGGCCAGTATTGGCATACTATAAGAAAAAATATTGAACAATCAACAGTGCTTGTTACAGTGAGATGCTCACTGAAAAACTGAAGTCTAAACTTCAGAGGACTGCGGTCCAGGGGTGTCGTGATCTTTCATGACAATGCATAGCCACATATCATTGCCCACACCATTGACACTCTGCAAAACATTCATTTTGAGGTGTTAAAACATCATCCTTATACTCCTGATCTTGCTCCAGCGGACTTTCACCTGCTTGGTCCCCTGAAAGCAGCCTTTCAAGGATGAAGATTCACCTCTGATGAAAAAGGAAGACAGCGGTACATTCGTGGCTCAGAACTCAGCCTAAAACATTTTTTAATAAGGGAATACGAAAGCTTGTTAATAGATGGACAAAGTGTATTGAAAAGCAAGGTGATTGTGTGGGTAAATTATGTATTTGTTTTTTCTAAAAGTTGATTAAAATAAATTCTACAGCCAGGAAAAAAAAAATCAATAAATTTGCATTTGAAATGATTGAAATATATAAAAGTATTCTTTCGACATGGTACTTATGTAGCATGATATCAAAAATTTTCCCCTATATCATAAAATACTTCTTAAAATGTAATGTTTAATAACTAGTTGGACTTATAATATTTTATCATTTAGGTTCAGTTAATATTTCTGAACTAATTATCCTTCCTGGGAAAAGGATTTTTTAAGTTACTGCTTGCTATACTAGCTAATCTACTAAGCAGTTTTTCTCCACTCTGTATCTATAATGTTCCCTATTCTATGCCCTAGATCTAGCAAGAAATGTTTGTTGAGTAACTGAATATACTACAGAAAAATATTTGTTGAGTTCATGGTATAATGTCAAATTTATCTGATCCAGTTTTATTTTAGTAATTTTTGTTCAAGATTCTCTGGGTAAATTAGATGGACTTCAGTGCACTACTTAATACTTACATTAGCTAAAGTTTGAAAGTCCTATGAATAAGACTGGAATGGGAGGACAAGGATCAATCAACTCAGAATAGTGGGGAGCTCTGAAATTAAAATCTGTGTGTCTTTTAGGGGATACTTCACATATCAGAATCAGAGGTACATGATAAAACCTCTGAAAAGCACAGACCAGGAAGAACATGCTGTCTTCACAGATAACCAGGAAGAACTTGACCAAGCTAATCATACCTGTGGTGTGAGAAACATTGGAAGGAAACAAAAGCTGATCCGAATCTCTAGGTCACTCAATAGCTCAGCAGTGAGTACAGATCTTTTAACTATTCATTTATTTTGGTCATCTCATCAACGGTAATGATAATGGGATACTATGTGATCAACAACAGCTGGTATATATGAAACCTGTAATTGTTTAATTTTTCATCAATTAAAATTCAATTTTTCTCCAAAGAGATAAAACAAAATAAAATAAGCAGCAACAACACAACATATATATATTTGTTGTTTAGTGCTATCAAGTCAGTTATGACTTATAGTGACCCTATGTTTCCAAGGAGCAACTAGTGGGTTTGAACCGCTGACTTTGTAGTCAGCTGTCCAGTGTTTATCTTACACTGCCACACCAAGACTCCGTATATCCATATGATGTTTTTGATGCACAGATACCTATAAAATATCTTTGTAAATGTTTGAAACGTTCAGTGTGAAATAATTGTTAACAATGTTCTTTTACTCTTTGTAAAGCAAGAAGACTTTCTTCAGGCTGAGAAGTACATTAATCTCTTTTTGGTGCTGGATAATGCCTTTGTGAGTATAAAATATTTGTACTTCCAGACCATTAAGTCAACTCTTAAGTTTACTTTTCCAAGAAGTCAAGCAACAAAATATTTTAGTAAATTATAGAGCTTAGCCATCTGATTTTTTTCTGTTTTATCTGCTTTGCCAGTAGTAGTGTTTACCCACTCCCCTCTTTAATATCAATCTGCTAGCAAAATATTTAGAAAATCAAGATTATCCTTTCTTTATCTCTCACTGCCTGAGAGTCAATTTTGACTAAGATAGTAGAGGTTTCCAAGACTGTAAATCTTTATGGGATCAGACAGCCTAATCTTTGTCTCACAGAGCAGCTGGTGGGTTTGAATCATTGACCTTGGGTTTAGCAGTGTAATTAAGCCCACTGTGACACCAGGATACTAGATAGATATAGGACACGAACCACAATAATGATAAATAAAGAGAATGGATTATTAAAATGCTTCTTAAATTCTCTTTATATTACATAAATATAAACACAAACCTGAATATACCTTACACATTATGTTTACATATGTTGATGATAGTATGTCGTGGAGTTGGGTCCAACTCATAGCCATATTGCATAGAGTTTCCAAGACTGAAAATCTTTATGGGAGCAGAAAACCACATCTTTCTCCCACTGAACTTCTGGTAGTTTCAAACTGCTGACCTTGAGGTTAGTAGTTTGACTTGTAACCACTGTTACCAGAATATTTACATATATGAAGAAAAAATTCTGAAGTCAATATTTATCCCTAGCAAGTGTTGCATTTATAATTACATTTTAATAATATTTAACTGGTTAAAACACTAAAAACTATAATTTTATTTCTTCAACTTGTAGATAAAAAAACAATAGCATTTTTTATGAGTGTTTAATGTTTTCCTTACCAAAAATAATTTCTTACATTTGAAATAAAATTTATTGGAACACAGTCTTACACAAGGAAGGATTGGAATTAACAGATGCTTAATTCTATTAAAAGTTGTAATTTTTTAAATGTGATATCCTGTGTCCTACCAGCATCCTCATTTTAATTTCATATTCTAAGTATACTTTGCATTATGTTTTTTTACAGTATAACATGTATAATGGGAATCTAACATTAATAAGAAGATTTATATTTGATGTGATGAACCTACTCAATGTGGTAAGATATCTGTCAGGTAAACATTTGTTTTTACAATAGAGTCTGAGACTTCCCTGTAATTTTATCAAATAAGAGATTGATAGAGTCACAATGACTCAAGATCAGAAGGTGTAGGAAATTTAGCAGGAATAAATTCAACAAGAACATGGGAACACTGAATGGCTTAAAATTAAGAAAGTTGTGTGACAGGGTTGTATTCTTACATATGCTGAGCAAATAATCTGAGAAGCTGGGTTATATGAAGAAAAGCATGGCATCAGGATTGGAGGAAGTCTCATCTGTGATTTGCAGATGATACAACCTTGCTTGCTGAAAGAGAAGAGGACTTAAAATATTTACTGATGAAGATTAAAGACCATAGCTTTTGGTATGGATTGCATCTCAATGTAAAGAAAGCAAAAATCCTCACCACTGGACAAATGAACAACATTCTTATCAATGGAGAAAACGTTGAAGTTGTCAAGGACTTCATTCTTCTTAAATCAACTATCAACACTCATAAAAGCAGCAGTCAAGAAATCAAATGAAGTATTGCATTAGGAAAAAGGCACAAGATGTTTTTAAAATGTTGAAGAGCAAAGATGTCAGCTTGAGGACTAAGATGTGCCTGACCCAAGCCATGGTATTCTCAATAACCTCATATGCATGTGAAAGCTGGACAGTGAATAAGTGAAGACCGTAGAAGAATTGATGCATTTGAGTTACGGTGTTGGAGGAGAATATTGAAAGTGCCATGGGCTGCCAAAAGAACCAACAGATCTGTGTTGGAAGAAGTGCAGCCAGAGTGCTCCTTGGAGGGCAGGATGGCCAAACTTTGTCTCTCATATTTTGGCATATTGTCAGGAGGCACCAGTCACTAGAAAAGGATATCATGTTTGGTAAGGTGGAGGGTCAGAGAAAAAAAAGAAGACTCCCAGCGAGATAGATTGACAAAGTGGCAATGGGCTCAAGCTTGGCAACAATAATGAGGTTGGCCCAGGATTGGGCAGTGTTTCATTCTGTTTGTTGTGCATAGTGTCACTGAGTCGGTACTGACTCAACGGCACCTAACAACAATAACAAAGGTCAACAAGAAGGTAAAATCTTATCTGTTGTACCAAAGGCAGCTTCTAGAACTTTCATTTTCAAAGTAGGATTAATTTATACATCAGTGTGATCAACAAAAGAACTCTGGTGGTGCAGTGGTTAATTGTTTGGCCACTAACTGTAAGAATCACAGATCTAATCCACAAATTGCTCTGCAGGTGAAAGATATAGCAATCTGCTTCCATAAATGTGGTTGTGGTTGTGGTTGTGGTTGTTAAGTGCAGTCGAGTTGATTCAGACCTTGTATAATGTTTCCAAGGAGCATGGAAACCCTATTGGGCAGCTATAATCGGTCCAATAGAGTTGTTAAGGATTGCAATTGACTCGATAGCAATGGGATTTGTGGTCAACAAAAAGTTAAAACACTAAAGGAATCCTGAACTTTTCATAAAGGGGATAAAAATGTCCTTTTTACAGATGTACAACACTTTAGACGTTAAAGTGATCTTGGTAGGTATGGAAATCTGGTCTGATGGTGACAAGATAAAGGTGGTACCCGATGCAGGAGTCACCTTTAACAATTTCCTGAGTTGGCACCGTTCTAACCTGGCAAAAGCGAAGATACATGACCATTCTCAGCTCCTCAGGTAAGCACATGCCTTCGTGAACTAAGTGTATATAGGCAGGATGGATAGTTATACCCAAGTTTCTTAGCAGGGATTTCTGTTCAATTATGTTTTCCCCGTCAGTTTTTAAAGTTCCTCAAATTCTACTACTAGTAAAGAACTTGTGAGATTCTTGGGAGGCAGTCATTAGAATTCTGTATAACAGGAAAAGCTTTTCTGAGGGCTAGTGAATAGAAAAAGGCTAGGGCAGCGCAGGAAATATGTAGCATACTTGATGGGAGCTCATGGTTCTGAAGACTCAAATTGTGATAGTATATCTCTTATTTTTGCACAGTGGAATTGGCTTCAGCAATCGACGCGTAGGATTGGCAGCCTCAAATTCCTTGTGTTCTCCATCTTCAGTGGCTGTTATTGAGGTTTGTAAACTTATAGAATATTTTCCTGTGTTCCTATATCTTCTACAAAAACCAGCATAATGCCTTATAGGGTTGACACAATGAACATGTGTTGAATAAGTGATTTGAAGTGGAAATAAACCTACCATTGTCCTTCCGCTAAATATTCCTTGGCTTTTGAAACATAAGAGCCCATTGCATTGGCCCTTCCAGAAGTCATCACTCTTTAGTTGGTGTTAGGAAATTAAAAAGCATAGCAACTGTTACAGAAAGGGGATCACATGCCATTTCTTAGCCTGAGCTAACAGTAAATTGGACCCTGTATTACTGACCAGAGTTCAGACAAGAAACTAAGATGCATGTAGGTTTTATGGTCAGATACTACAAATGCCCTTGGAACCATAGCAATATTTTTGGAGTTCTCTGGGTACGTAATACATTAGTTAAAAAAAACAAAACATTTCCTGTGAGGGATATAATAAACTCAAGTTAACCGTCATTGACTTGATATTACTAAGCAAACTATAGTTCATTAATTCACAAACTATGTGTAGTACAGTCAACATTCTGCACTCAGTCATAATAGGGAAAGGAGCTTATTATCCCAGCCACCATTAAAAAATAATAATTCTGTACATTGGAAAAATTAAGAAATAACTGAATAAAATAAGAAAACATTTAAAAATGGAGATTTCTTTCTTTCTTTTTAGGCTAAAAAAAAGAATAATGTAGCTCTTGTTGCAGTGATGGCACATGAGTTGGGCCATGTCCTTGGTATGCCTGATATTCCATATTATACCAAGTGTCCTTCTGGGAGTTGTGTGATGAATCAATATCTGAGGTAAGGCCTTGTCTCCCTAGAGAATGCAATATTTCCAGAACCTTAAGGACTTCAGATCTACATGTGGGAATTTGTCACTGAGCAATGCCATATTTTCTATAAAAAGGAATATAATAAATATTAGGACAACATCTTCACATATCTCCTTCATTAAATCCAGTCACCTGTTTTTAAATGTTTATTAATTGCTTGCTGAAGTCAGGCACTTTGCAAGGACTTGGGATAGAAAATTGAACAACACTATCATGTCTCACAAGTTAGAGGAAATATATGTTCACAAAACCAGTAAGTCTGCAATCATTTATTTCCACTGGTCATGAAATCCCTTATTTTTCATCCCTCAATAATGAGATGTACAACAAATAACAAGATAACAAATGATGGAAGATAACAAATGATGAGGCTCATCACCCTTGCCAATTAGAACAGTACTGAATCTAGGTTGTCATTACTGTTGTGAGTTCCAAATCATAGTGACCCTATGTAAAACAGAAGTAGACATGGCCTGGTCCTGTATCACACTCACAGTGGTTGCTGTGTTTGAGCCCATTGTTGCAGTCAATGTGTCAATCCATATTGTTGAGGGTCTTCATCCTTTTTACTGACTCTCCACTTTACCAAACATGTCCTTTTCCACAGACTGATGACATATCCTTCTGATGACATATCCAAAGTACATTACATAAAGTCTTGCAATCCTCATTTCTATGAGACATTCTGGTTATACAAAAACAGATTGTGCATTGTTCTGGCAGTCCATAATATATTCATTATTCTTTGACAACACCATAATTGAAATCCATCAAGCCTTATCCAGTCTTCCTGACCTATTGCAGAGCTTTCACATGCAAATGCATACCTTAGTCCTCAACAGGACACCTTTGCTATTTAACACTTTAAAGAGATCTTTTACAGCAGATTTGTCCAATATAATATGTCCTTTGATTTCTTGACTGCTGCTTCCATCAGTGTTGTTTATAGATTCAAGTAAAATTAAATTTTGGACAAATTTAATCTTTTCTCTTATTGGTCCATTGTGGAGATTTTTGCTTTCTTTACAATGATGTGCAATCCATATTGAAAGGTAAAATCTTTGATCATCACCAATAAGTGCTTCATGTACAGGAAGCAAGGTTGTGTTATCTATATATTGCAGGTTGTTAATGAGTCTTTCTTCAATTCTGATGCCATAGTCTTCAAACAGTCCAACTTCTCAGATTATTTAATCCGTATACAGATTGAATAAATATGGTGAAAGGAGTCAGCCCTGACACACACTTTTTCTGGTTTTAAATCATTCAATATCCCCTTGCTGTGTTCTAAGGACTGCCTCTTGGTCTAGATTCTACATGAACACAGTTAAGTGTTTTGGAATGGCTATTTTTTCTTAATATTATCCATAGTTCACTATGATCCACAAAGTTGAATGTGCTTACATAGTAAATGAAACACAAATAAATACCATTCTAGTATCTTCTCCTTTCAGTCAAGGTTCATCTGATATTAGAAATGATACCCATTGTTCCAAGTCTTAGTCTGAAACCAGCTTGAATTTCAGTAGATAAACTGCAATAACAGTTTTGGAATTAGCGTCAGAAAAATGTCACTTGCATGTGATGTTGTTGTTGTTGTCAGGTGCCATCGAGTCAGAACCGACTCATAGCGACCCCATGCACAGCAGAACGAAACAATGTCCGATCCTGGGCCAACCT